CTACTTGCTTTGCAATTGCATGGTTTCCAAGACTACAAGATAACAGAATGTGAAAATAAGCAAATCACAGATAAATAAAAAAACTTAACAAGCTGGTTCATATAATATAAGATCACTTTCCAGAATGATAAAATTTGAAACCTTTTATTCTTTAGTAGTAGTTTATTTCAGTATAATGTGAAACCACCAATTAATTCTGCAACTTTGTAACTGTATCTCACCTTCAGAAACAATGCACTACATTTTTTTTATTAAATAAGCCAGTTTAGAGTTATGAGCAGTGATGACTCTCAGTAAGTCTCACTTGAGATAAACTTTTGTCTGCTAAACATACATCAAAATACAAGTATTATTTACATGTAAAAAAAAAAGTATACCAAGTATTTTTTAGTATTTAAAAAATCAGGGTTGGGATCAAAATTAAAGTAGGCCAAGAAGAGCCAGTCCTTGGCAAAATGTGCAAACTTTGTATTCAGCACCCTTGCTTATGTAAAGCTGACAGGAAATGTTATTTACCATGTCGATTTTGGTGGCCCCTATCTTTGGCACATGTGACTTACCACAAAGACTGGCCCTCAGGCTACACTATCAAAAGCACAACATTTGCTGTTTGGCCTAAAACTAAGTATTATGAGCTCTCCACATCTTAATCTACTTCTGAATTGTTTTATTCCGACCATAATTACTTATGTAGATTGTTGTACTTCATCAAACACCTACATTATGAATTATTAAAATATGTAATTGTTGTACTTCATCAAACACCTACATTATGAATGATATGATGCATTAAACAGCAGATTATTTATTAAAAAAATAATCTGCTGTTTAATGCATCATCTCTATGTAGATTGTTGTACTTCATCAAACACCTACATTATGAATTTTTAATAAATAATCTGCTATTTAATGCATCATCTCATGTAACACTGTACGCTGTGCTCAGAAAGATGTGAATTTGTTTATACCATTAATATCTCATAATGCTTCGCAGACCCTTCATACTCATGAAATTTCAAACTGGCTTATTCTATCTATGTTGGGGAAGCTTATTTCGGAAGTAATTCACACAACATAAAATTTAATTTATATCAAAATCACTTTTTTAAATATTACTTTTATAGCATCTTCAATGACTTAATATTTAATAATCACAAAAAAAAGTATTTATTTTTTGAAATACACTACATAAAATGAAAATACATTTAATGTTGAAATTTACCTGCCCTGCTCTTGAACTCATTGTCAGTCGATCCAGGGGCTTCATCTCGGGCTTTCCTCTTGCTTTGTCTACTATTTTTCGAAGGGAGGACACTATAACAGTCGGTTGTGGAGCTGAGGTGCGTTTTTCCGAGAAGTCACAAGAATACAGAACATTGTCCACAGTTGTTCCGTGCTCACTGTAGTTAAGCAGTTCAAAATGTTTTGTCAGCTGAAGAAGCAGAAATTTAAACACAAGTTATTAAATATTAATCAACACAAAAGCTCAGAAGTCTTCTCAAAGAATAATCTAAAGTGCTTGTGAATTAATTAACAAATTATACTTTTTCTAGAATCTCAGCCATAAATGATTTATTGGTAAAAACTCTAAAACTAACTGCATATTTGCACGTGAATGAGTCGAATGCCCTAACCACCAGGCCATGCCATGCTTATAAACTAAGGCATATGACAAGAACTATTAACATAGCAATCAAAGTCAGTTGGTCCATCTAGACCATCCCATCAACAAAACTAAGAAATTTAAAAAAAAAGAATCAAATATATATCAACATTTTTTCCCTTAAAATCTCGTAAATTTACTGTTTTTGCTACATCTAAAGGAAACCAATTCTAAAGGCCAACCACCATGTTAGAAAAATAAAACTGTCTTAACACTATGAGTACAATGTGTGTACAATGGGGGTGGGGGCAAAAACCTTTCTTACTAAGCTACATTTAACTCTCTTGCTGCAAAGTTGGTCGAATTGACCAACCTCGTAACCATTTTGTACTCATCATTGTTTCCGTACTATAACTTTTAATACACCTTGTGCATCTTCACAAAATTTGTCAGACTTTTAGTAAACATTAGAAGTCTTTTGTACACAGAAAAACCAAATTTTTATTGAAGTATTTTTACTAAAGACTTGTCCATGAATATATATATTAACACTATTTCTATATACTAGTCCGAGAACAAAGTGATTTCCATGTTAAAATCAAAAATGCTTTTCTTTGTCTCGAATATCTTATATTTAATTTGCATAATCTCTAAACCTAATAAATAAATTTCAAACGTTTTTTTTTTCAGTAAAACTTTATATTTTAGCTGTTATTTTTTTTTCTACCCTAACTAAAAAGAAAAAAAAAAGAAAAAAGAAAGTAAATTAAAG